TTTTTTGTTTTGTTTCCAAGTCAGAATCTTTAGAGCAGACCTATTTATTTATTTATTTATTTATTTATTTATTGTGGTACCAGGCATTGAACTCAGGACCTTGTGCTTGCCAGGCAAGCATTTACTCCACTGAGCTATCTCCCTGGCTCCCCAAAACAGGCATTTTTAAGACAGAGTGTTGCACAGTTCAGGCTGGTCTTGAACTCACTATGTTGCCCACAGTGGCCTCCAGCTTGCAGGAACTCAACTGCCTCAGCGTCCCCAGTACTGGAATTACAGGTGTGCACTGCCATGCCCAACAGACTTCCCTTTATGAGACAGAGCACTGAGACTGTCCTAGTGGAGTTATCTCTTGTTGTAATAAGTACCCTTGGTCAATGGGTTTTCTGATGATCTTTTGGGGAAGTCGACAAAGATCTACCAATGGGCTGAAGCCTATAATGTGAAATAGAGTGTTGTAATATATCTCAATTCTTGCTAGGTTAAGGTAATAAGTTTTTCTCTGTACTGATGTAACATATAAGACACAGCAAAGAAAAAGTATCATTAGCAACAGCAGAGGCTCTGACATGTCTCCTGTACCTTGGGGGGCCTTAGTACAGTATTCCTGAAAAGGCTGTTAGCCTGGTCTTGAATGTCTATACTGTCTTTTTTTCTTTTTTTTTGCGGAACGGGGGATTGAACTCAGGCCCTTGTGCTTGCCAGGCAAATGCTTGTTCTACTGAGCCATCTCCCTGGCCCCTTTTTTTTTTGTTTTTTTAAACAGGGTCTTGCTATAAAGTTCAAGATGGCCTCAAATTCAGAATGATCCTCCTGCCTCAGCCTCCTGAATACTGAGATTACAAACATGTGCACAATGCCTGGCCCTATACTTACTTCTTAGCTAAAGGTCCCCTTGACTAAGCCTGAGCCCAGCTCAGACATGTTCAAGTCCACAGGTACCAAGGCCTGGACCCACGAATCTTTACACCCCGACACCTGGGCTCTCTGTGTTCAGCTAGGCTTGCCTAGGTTCAAGCAGAGTCACTCAACAAAATACAGTAAAGAAATAATCCACTAAAACACAAAGGACACAAAAACTGTCAATTCTTTGCAACTAGCTTGAAATGAGCCTATGTACATCATCTTACTTTGAAATATAAACCATAAATGAACATAAATCATAACACTAAGGTTTTGTTTTGCTTTTTCAGACACGATCTTGTATGTAGCTTAGGCTGGTCTTGAGCTCACTCAGGCTGGCCTCAAATTCACGGTGATCTTCCTGCCTCAGCCTCCTGAGTGCTGAGATTACAGGTGTGCGCCATCACCATCACAACGCCCTGTTAACAATAAGGTTTATGTTGTTTTCAACCAGTTGCTTACCTTTGGCTGTACTTTGTCTGAAGCAGGATGCCCTAAAGGAAACAGAAAGCCATCACTTACCATACGTACTTCTCCCTGCATCATCTAGGGTTGTTAAAAACACCACTGCTGCTTTCCCATGGAAGCATCCCATAATACTGACCTCTCAACTGCATCTCCCTGAGAGGCTAAATGACCACTGTTAATTTCACAACTAATCTCATAGTGTCAGCTACTTCTTCCACTGTATTCTAACAAGAAAAAATAGAGCCTTTGTCATTTTCAACTATTAAAAAGTATACTGTTCAACCAGGTTGGGATGGATCATCCCAAAAATTCTGTACCAAAATTTTCCACAAACTCTTAAGACGTCCAGACCCCAAAGGCCCACACCAAATCTCCTGTGCATAACTGGGTAACCCAAGCAGATGACAACAGGACTTGTGTGTCGGTCCTGTCAACACAAGCAACGTCAGTCAGCACAAAATCTTCCCTTACATTAACTGATAAATATGGGCATAACTGCGGCAGACACGCTGGAGTATGAGCCGCATTTTGTTGGGTTTTGAGAACAAAAGAGAAGAAAAATACATGAGCATTTTACTCAGATAAGAAAGTGGGGGCCTGCCCCTTAGCTCAGTTCTTTAAGTGGCTGCTTCAATAAAGCAGTCAGGCTCAGGTTGCTGTGGTTCGATCCCCACAACTCAAGCCAGCCAAACCTGCCCTCAAGGCATTCGGAGCAAAAAAAAAAAAAAGAAGAAAGTAACATACTCTAATTTGAAGCAACATGGAAATGCTTTGCAAAAACAAAGAAAGACTTACCTTTGCTACTCTGAGGAATGCTTATGATTTCAGGATCATTTTTCAAACTGGATGAGACACTTTTTCTTGGTGTTTTTGCTAGTTCAGAAGCTATAATCAAAAAACAACAAAAAATAACCTATGAATGAACATCAGCAAAGGGAAATGGCCTTTCTATAGGTTGTCTTTTCACTTCTTTGCTGAGCAGAAGCCTTTAGGTCAATACGATCCCATCTGTTGACTTTCAGCGGCTGAGGTTAAGAACATCTGGCCTATGCCTATGTCTTCAGATTTTCCATATTTACCTTGTAGCAAATTGTTTCTGTTCTAACATTTAGATATCCGATCTGTACTGACTTTAGTTCAGTACACTGTGAGCAATATGGCGCTAGATACACTCTGTCAGTAGATACCCCATTTTCTCAGCAGATTTAGCATAAAGGCTACCTTTTCTCCAATACATGTTCTTGTCCCCTTTGTAAAAGATTGACTACCTGAATGAATGTGCTTTGGGGGCTGGCCAAATAGCTCAGTGGATTAAAGCTCCTGCAAGCAGGTGCAGAGGCCAGGGGTTCCATCCTCAGGCCTGCCATGCCAGCTCTGCCCCCGGGGCATGCTGAGAAGCAATTGAGACTGGGTGTGGTGGTGCGCACCTGTAATCCCAGCTCTTGGGAGGCTGTAAACAGCCAGATCACTACAAGTCTGATCTAGCAGTGAGACCCTGAAGACCCTTCCCTCAAATGCAAAAATAAATAAATAAATAAATAAATAAATAAATAAAGTGCTTTGGATTGCAGCTGCATCTTCTACCATTACATTGATCCAGAGGTCTGTTTTTATGCCCGTTACTGTGCTTGCTTGCTTGCTTGCTTGCTTGCTTTATTGGCAGAACCAGGGATTGAACTTAGGCCCTTGCACTTGCCAGGGAAGCTATTTCTACTGAGCCATCTCCCTGCCCCGAATACATTATACCCGTACATGGATTTTTTTTGTACCGGGGATTGAACTCAGGACCCTGTGTTTGCTAGGCAGGTACTTATTCTACTGAGCTATCTCCACAGCCATGCTGTTTTTAATCACTGTAACTTTATAATTTCAAATGTAGGATTATGGTGTTTCCTGTTTTGCTCTTGTGCAGAATTACTTGCTTATTCTGGGTCTCTTGGTTCCATATGAAGTTTAGAATTATTTTCTCCAGTCATAAGAGAAATGTTAGTATGTGAATCAGGATTACACTCAATCCATGCAACAGTTTAGGAAATATGGCCATTCTGATGATAGTGGTTCTGCTTCTCTACAGCAGGGGACATCCTTCCATTTTCTGATGTCTTCCTCTACCACATAAATTCTTTCTTCCTTTCTTTCTTTAATTTGAGACAGGGCCTCACTATGTAGTTTATGCTGGCCTTGAGCTCACTTTGTAGTCCAGGCTGGTCTGGAACTCACAACAATCCTGCTTCAGCCTCCCAAGTGCTGAGACCACAGGTGTTAACTACAATGCCCCCACACACAAATTCTTAAAAAACAAAAACCCTTTTTTGTTTTTATTACAAAGATAAATCTATCCTTGTTAAATACCACTTTTACCTTTACTGATCTCTTCCCGGTATCTTAATCTTCCAATTATAAACAAATTTCTTAAAACAATAAATAAATACATAAAGGAAGAACTAATTTTGATCTTGTTGCTTTTGTAATGATTACTTTTCTCTTCTCCCCACCAACACTGTACATTCCTTCCATTTCTTAGCATGGGTGCCAGAGCTCACCCTCACTAGGGGGTGAGGGCAGACGACAGGCTCCAAGGCTAACTATGCACATGTTATGTGCTATGGTGTGTTAATCACTCATAAGTGTGATGTTCTGTATTTTGTGTCTAACACTCTGCAATACGTATGACTAATGCCTGATTCATACTGCGCTGTCTACTAAGCAACAGATGAATGCTGCCTTCTGTGAGATAGAGCCCACAAGCCCTGGACCATCCTGGAGAGCGCGGCCTCCTCACCATGGTCACTTCTTGCTCTGCCCTACACCGCGCTCGCACAGCCGGCGCGGGCTCCGACGCGCACACACCGCGCTCGCACAGCCAGAATGGACTCTGACACACCTGACCATGGCACAGCTTTCCTTATGACCACCTATGACTTCTACCTACCCAAGCTGAAGCTATGTGCACTATTTTTCGACACACAGATCTCTCTGCTCTATCCCCAAAAATCTACCTGTACTGGAGCCCACTGCAATTTGTGCTCCAACCACCCTTCAGGACGCTGAGGATGCCCACAAGGGTCACACACTCTCCCCTGAATATCCCTTCTCCCTGTCTTCCTAACAAATCCTTATTTACCTTTCTAGCCCAGCATTACAAAATTCCTAGATTTTCCCCCAAAGATGCTTTTCTACTGTGAGCAGATGCTCTAGCTCCTACATAGCTCTATGGAGGCTGGGCAGCAACAGTGAAGGGTGTAGGCTCTGAGGTTAGGTAGGCATGAAATCTATTCCTGGCTCTGCAATCTGTGATTTTTATGTAAATTTTAGAGTGCCGGCCAGATAACTCAGTGGACTAAAGTGCCTGCTTAGGCAGGCACAGGGACTGGGGTTCAGTCCTCGGTGTGCCATGCCAGCCCTGGCCCCAGGGTACACTGAGACTGCGAAAGAGACTGGGTATCGTGGTGCAAGCCTGTAATCCCAGTGCTTGGGAGGCTGAAAACAAGAGGATCACTATGAGTCTAATCTGTGTAGTGAGACCCTGTGGACCCTGAACTAAAATTAAAAAAAAAAAGGAAATAAAAAATAAATTTAGGCTTTTCTAGGTAGACAGACAGACAGATATCGATAAGCTACGATCTGTGCTCAGTGCTTATACAGATACAAACTGGCTACGTCAGAGAGACACATACAGGATACAGACAGATTTAACCTGTCTCTCTCCTCCACTGCATGGAGCAGGGCCTAGCCCACAGTAGCTGCTTAAGAGTGACTTATCGGGGCGGGAGATGGCTCAGGGGAATAAGCATTTTCTGACAAGCACAAGGGCCTGAATTCAATCCCTGGTTCTGGAAAAAAAAAAAAAAAGACTGTTATCATCACTACAGAATCACAAAAGAATAATCTGGTGTTGCTCTTTTTTTTCTACCTATAAGGACACTCTTCACCAGCCTGGGTCTTAATCACTGTGGTGTCCTCATTTTGCTACAGCAGGTCAACAAATGATTGATAAATCACTCTCAAACAGCAACGGCTTCATCATGTAGACCTTGAAATACTACTGTTTAATAGCTTAGAACAGAATTACTTTTTCAGTATCTGCACACACACAGATACGTAGCTGCCCCATCCCCGTGAATGTCTCTCCTTCCTGTTTCCTTCTAGCAGGAGGCATCTGGTCAGGGCTGCTCACCTGCTAAGCTTGGTCACTGTCTGCCTCTGCTGTCTACCTTCCCACACTCACAACAAACCCACCCAACTTTTTTTTTTTTTTTTGGCAGAACCAGGGATTGAATTCAGGCCCTTGCGCTTGCCAGGCAAGTGCTTATTCTACTGAGCCATTTCCCTGGCCCCTCCCACCCAACTTTTTCAGTGGACTCTGGTTTCTCAATGTAAGGTTCCAACAGTACAGCCTGGCAGTCACAACAAAGTCTGGCAGCCCAGATAGCCTGAAAACCATCTGTGAGCCCACTGTAGAGGACAGCCATGGGGCAAGCTCGCTGTGCCTCGCCTCACCATCACAACCAGCTGCCCAGTACAACGTCTGCCACGTTCCATTTCTCCACACCCGCTGCAACATGCAGTTACTTTGAGCTTTTGTCTCTGTTTCCTTTAACTGTCTTTCACAAAATGATACTCTTCGTTACACTGCTTTGGTGAAGGGTCAAAATGAAATAATGCCATTAAGTAATCCTGCCCTACCTTTCACATTCCAAGCTATCGGCTCATCAGCACCAAAGTACATGGCCCACAAGCTACTGCCAAGCGCAGACGCTGTTTCTGGTTTGTAGCTACAGAAAATAAGAATGCTTAAAGCTCTTCTACAGTAGTTACTGGATGTGGCCAGATGATACTGGCTTATGAACACAACAGGAACTGGTGTGAGTGGTGCTGAGCAAGTCTGTGCAGAGCCCCCTACCTTTCAATGTACCACAACACGTGCAGCCTCAAGGTTAATTCATCAGCCTCATCCCAAACGCACATAAGCCGATATCAATTTGTTGGGCCGCAGAAATAGCTCAGCAGTCTCAGCACTGGCTTAGCAAGCCCAAGGACTGGGTAAGATTTCACGCACTGCATGCTCTGCTGGCTCCGCCTCCGAGCTGCAGAGTGAGACCCTGTACCAAATATAATCAATTTTTTTTAATTTATTTATTTGTGTGTGTGTGTGTGTGTGTGTGTGTGTGTGGCCAGCTCAGCCCACCAGGGGGCGGGGCTGGCTGGCATGTGGTGCTGGGGGATTGAACCCCGACCCTGTGCTTTGCTAAGCTTGTTCTAAGTAGGTGCTTTAGACCACTGAGCCATCTCACCAGCCCCAATATAATCAATTTGTTCACTGAGAGTTTCAATTTGAGCACAAGCTACTAGGTTACATTGTTGGGATTACCTTCTCTGGTAGAGGATTAAAGATAAATTTTGAAAATATACTGGGTAGTTTTAAATTAGAATTAAAAACAAATACTACAGGTAGTGCAGTGGCACACACCTGTTACCCCAGCACTCTGGGCAGCTAGTAGGTTTTGAGCCCTGCCTGTCTCAAAACAGAAAATAAAAGTAGGAGCTGGAAATGTTGTTCAGTGCAAAGGCCCTGGGTTCGACTCCCAGTACCACAGGCTGAAATAAACCCCCAAACCAAAATACCTAAGTCTTAAAAAAAATAAACAACCTAAGTCTGATGCCATTTCTTAGAGAGCCTGTCAGTTTACCTCTGAGACATTTTTCTTCGAGAATAAAGTTTAGCAATACATTATCTACACAATAAAAAAGCTCATTTGTCAAATCTCAATACGGATAAGCAAATTGTTTGCTCAAAGTGTGCATACAAGCACTTTTTTTTTGGCCAAACTGGGGATTGCACTCAGGCCCTTGCGCTTGCCAGGCAAGTGCTTATTCTACTGAGC